AAAATATCAAGAATTTCTATTGTTTCGGTTAAGGCGACGATAGGTAAAATTGAACTAATCAATCTCTGTGGGACGATATTCGGACTCATTTAATCCACTCTATTACTTGTTAATGAACCGTACACTTGCGGTAGTTTAAAATCGAAAGGAATAATTTCGCGAACAAGTTTTTGGCGCCGTTGCCGAGGATTGAGTTCAGTTTAATTTTATTTTTCTATGCACTAATTCGAATTTAATTTTCGTTTCTCTTTTAGTTTTTATTTTATTTATTTATTTATTTGTTTTTTTTGTCTTTGTTTTGTTTTTATTATTCGATCTATCTTTTTAGTATCTAAGTGCTACTCTTATTTTTCTCTTAAATTTGCATGCTAAGATCGACTGGAGGAGAATTGATTCCAGCCGATCCTGAAATTGAATGCACTTTTCATCGACTACAAAAGAGAACCGAGAAGCAAAATTGTAAATGGCTAACGAACTAAACAATCCTATTATCCCAGCCAATGAAGGAGAGGCAGTGAACGAAGGAAATGAGATTTTGGGCGACTTCTTGACTCCTCAAGTGATTCAAAGCCAATCTAGCATTGTATATCCACCGTTTGGGCAACCCAATTTTCAATTGAAGATGAATGTGATACAGCTGTTCCAAAATGGACATCAATTTTATGGCAGAGCCGAAGAAAATCCACATACACACATATCTTGATTCTTGGATATGTGTCAACACTTCAGATATCAAGGAATCTCAGACGATGCTATTAGGTTAAGGCTTTTTCCACACACCTTGCGGGACAAGGCACTTGAATGGTTGGATTCGCTTCCTATTGCAAGCATTACTACTTGGATTGACTTGGCTCACAAATTTCGCACGAAGTACTTCTCACCAGCCAAGATAGCTAAAATGAGACACGAAATATCCATTTTCAGCCAGGGAGAATCCGAATCATTTGACGAAGCCTGGAACAGATTCAAGAATATGCTCCGGAAGTGCCCTCAACATGGGTTCGACAAAAAGACCCAAATCCGATTCTTTTATATAGGGTTACTCCCGTACTTCAAAAGCATCATCAGATGGCTCAATTTCTACACGAACAATCGATGGAGCACCAGAATTATTTGAAAGAGTGGCAACTACTTCAGCGATGTGGGCATCTGAGCGGGTAACTCAGAAGAAACCTCAGGGTGTTTATGAGGTCGATACTTATTCAGCCATATCTGCGAAGATTGACTCGTTGTTTCACAAGGTAGAAAGCATATCACAAACAGCACAAAATAAGAAGTTTAGCTGTGAAGAATGTGGAGCTGAGCATAAAACATCAGAGTGTCCAATTTTAATGCAAGGAGTTGAGCAGACAGATTTTGCACAATGGGGGCAACGCCAACAGAATAATCAATATGGGGAAGCATACAATAACAATTGGAAGAAGCATCCCAAGTTCTCTTGGAGCAACCAGAATCAGAATAGGCCGTAGGGTCAGTTTCAACAGCAAGAGAAAAATCCTCAATTGGAAGACATGTTCAAGAAATTCATGGAGAGGACCAATCAGTACATGGAGAAAATCGAAATCACTCTGCAAAACCAGAATGCTGCCATCAAAAACTTGGAAACTCAAATGGGACAGATGGCCATCGCTTTGACTGAAGAGCACAGGGAAATTTGCCAAGTAACACGGACATCAACCCAAAAGAGCAAGCCAAGGTCATCACAACTCGAAGTGGAGTGCAGGTACCTGATATGCATGTCAAAAGGCCAGTCAAGAACAAAGAGAATACACCTTCTGTAGAAGAAGAAACTGTGGAGCAGGATGAATAACCAAACACATCTACCGCAAAGGAAAGCTCAAAAAAAGCAGGGAATAAAGAAACAGTTACAGTCAACCCATATGAACCTCCAATTCCATTTCCACAGAGGTTGAAAAACCACAAAAATGGAGCAACAATACAAGAAATTTCTGGAAATCTTCATGAAGCTCCACATCAACATCCTGTTGGTCAATGCTCTATTCCAGATGCCCAGCTATGCAAAGTTTCTGAAGGTCATATTATCAAATAAACGCAAGCTGGAGGATCATGAAACAGTAATGCTAACCGAAGAGTGCAGCGCAAGAATTCAGAAAAAACTTCTACCAAAATTGAAAGATCCAGGGAGTTTCACTGTTCCTTGCACAATTGGTGATTTTTATTTTAATAAAGCATTATGTGATCTTGGTGCGAGTGTTAACTTGATGCCACTCTCTATTTTCAGGAAACTAGGATTGGAGAGCCTAAGGCAACTACAGTAACTCTACAGCTGGCTGATCGATCACTTACACATCCACGAGGGATTATCGAAGATGTATTGGTCAAAGTGGATAAACTTATATTCCCAGC